GATAATGGGAATTTGTTGGCTCCAATAACTGAGAAATGCAAAGGCTGGGAAAGCAGAATGGGCTCTGGCTAAATTTTCTGTAAATCTCTTGAGTCTGCTGTTTTTCTGTTGTCAGCATCATGCTTGGGCCAGTGGCCCCATCTCAACATGGCTGACATGGCTGCCTGGAACAGCTGGGACTGTGTGCTGTGACTGAACTATTCTTGATTAAAGTGACCAGGAAGGCCAGACATGGTGGCTCATGCCTGTAATCCCAGCACTTTGGGAGGCCAAGGGGGGCAGATTGCTTGAGGTCAGGAGTTTGGGACGAGCCTGGCCAACATGGTAAAACCCCATCTCAGCTAAAAATACAAAAATTAGCTAGGCCTGTAATCCCAGCTACTCGGGAGGCTGAGGCTGGAGAACCGCTTGAACCCATGAGGTGGAGGTTGCAGTGAGCTGAGATCACGTCACTGCACTCCAGCCTGGGCAAGAGAGTAAGACACCATCTCAAAAAAATAAAGTAACAGGAAGAATTTCATATATTAATTAGCTTGGAACAGTTTGTATCTGGAGGTTGGAGTTAATCTCAGCCAAATTTCTTGGTTACTTTTCTTAGTACAGGAAGGGGGCATTATAGTTGCCCTTGGAAAATATGTGTGGTATTAGGCAGGGAAAAGGATATTGGCAAATAATCCAGAATCTGTTTCAACCAACAAAAAAAGAAGTTGTAATCATACCTTAAAATAATAGCTAAAAATTTTATTTATATAATGCACCATTATTTTAATTTACATATATTATCAAAAGTTCTGAATTTTATGTTATTCAGAGACATTTCAAGGAAAGTGTCATAAAAGTTCAGTCTTAGGAAAGGTGTCTTCCTCTTCTTTGCAGCTTGGTGCTGATTATTACAACTGTTTGGTGACCTACTTCACTGGCCTGTGAGGATTTTTTCCATTCAACTACTGGATTCTTGATCTTTCTGCATCATTAAGGTCCTAATTGCAATGAATTAGACTCTTGCAAAAAAAAAAAAAAGCTTTGTAAATGTAAAACTTTCTCATACAAACATTCTTTTATGTAATGATCATTATTTCTGACATCTCTAATTGAAGTACTTGACAACTTTAGCAAAATTAAGATGTTTGATATTCATGGTGTCAAGATTTATAGCACACAGTCATTTCTAAATCTTCAAAACTATGTAAAAAAGAAAGGGCTCATTTTGTATATATAAAACCAAATATCTTGAGCAGTATATTGATTATTTTTAGAATAAGGTAAAATTTGGAAAACCAAATGTTTTTTCCTGTATAATAAGTCAATTTCAGCTTTCAATTACCCAACAGATTGCTCCAGCAATAATTGGTAATTTTATAATTAACTTCTGTTGTTTGTAGCGAGGGACTAATTTTGTAAAGTGCTGTGAGAGACAAGATTAAGAATCTTTAAAATGTATCATTAATCAAACTAGGATTGGAGGAATACATTATACATTTGCTATGTAATTTTTTGAAATAGCTTTATGTATGTTATTATAAATTGCCTTCAGCAAGTAGTTTTGACTTTTATAATGTGCAAATGACATTTAGCTGATTTTTGCTGATAACTTAGGGCAGTGGCTGCACCGCAGAATCACTCAAGCTCTGAAAAAAATAACGGGTCTTCCAGAGATTTTGATTTTGCTTTTCTGCAGTGAGGAAAATGTATCTATAATTTTAGAAGCTCTTGCAGATGATTCTAATGACTAGCTTAAAGGATTTCGAATGTCACTACCTTAAAGGATTTTTAATATTACACAAATAGGGCATGAGTTAGTAACTTGGAAATAGCAACGAACAGTGTCATATACCAAATCAATAGTTTAAATTAAATGCTTATAAATGTTGTCCGTATGGTCAGAAAAAAATTGAGACTCCTTCTAAAAATGCATTTAAGGGTCAGATGTGGTGGCAGGAGCCTGTAGTCCCAACTACTCAGGCAGCTGAGGTAGCAGGATGGCTTGAGCACAGGAGTGCTAGGCTTTAGTGCACAAAGATGACATCTGTGAATAACCACTGCCCTCTAGCCTGGGCAACATGGTGAGACCTTGTCTCTTAAAATACAGTGAGTTTATTACTGGTCTAATCTAACTCCAGTGTGGTGAGGGGGTCAGACTAGTCCTTGACCACGGTGCTCAAGTAGATAGGAAATGAATGTTGATTGAATATGCGAAAGAATGAAGAGTTATGTTTCATTCACAATGGCAGATGCTTCATCCATATTAGAGAAATAAAACCTTACTTTTAAAACCTGCCAAGTAAAAAGAAAGCGCAATAGCTCACAATAGCTTGTTCTGTAAAGCTCTTTTTACATTCCAGAGCACTTTCACATTCATTAACTTTTCTCATTCATACATTTCAAATTGTAAGAATACAATTGCCTAAGAATACACACAGCCAGGAAGATCCTTTTTAACCCCAGTCACAGAAGAAAAGCTAAAACTACGTAGCAGCCTGGCAGTAATATTGGATCAAGTCAGCATGAGAAATTAGAAATAATATTTTTTAAAATATAACATTTGGGTCAGTTCAAATTAGTGGTGAAAAGATGAGTTATTCAGTAAATGGTGTTGGGACAGTTGGCTATCCATCTGGAAAATAAAGTTATGCAAAATAAATTCCAGATGGATCAAAGAGTTAAATGCAGATAGAATGAGAATTTAGAAGGCAATTTAGGGGATTTTTAAAATGTAATCATGGGATGGGGAAGGCCTAGAGCAAAGGCCAAAAGTCATAAAAGGAACTACTGAGAGGTAGTATACTGTGGTAGGTAAAGGCTTGCACTCTGATTTCATACAATTTAGATTCATTTCCATTTTTGCTTTTTAAACTGTATGATCTTAGAACCAAAAATGTCCTATAAACATCCAAAAAGATGTTTACTCAAGGAAATACTTATTAAAACAGTGAGCTATCATTCTTTTCCTCTTAAATTGGCAAAAATTTAAAAGAATTGGAAAGAGGTGAAAAAGACTACAGTCCCTCATATTCTGTTAGTGAAGTGTAAGTCATACATTCTTTTTTGAAGGGTAAATTGGCAGTATCTATTCAAAGTTAAAATAAGTACGTCCTTTGACTCAGCAATTTTGGTTCTAAATATCTTTCCTAGAGAAATAATTATATATTTATTTTCAAAAATATGTACTAGGATTGTTACTGCGGCATTATTCAGTATAGCTTAAATAAACCATAACGTTCTAAATGCTTATCAGTATGGAAATTGACCTTTTGGGGGTAAGTGAAGAAGGGAGATCCTTTTTTTAAAAATCTATAGGAGGTCTGTGATTTTACTGTGAGAAACCACTAGAAATGTTTTTAGATAGTATTTTGCTAAAAATCATTAGCTAGTGTATTGTGCTAAGTGGCAGTTTTAAGGCATAGCTAATTTTAATCAAATGTAATATTTTGAATGTCTTTTATAAACAAATTTTATAACTGCTTTTTTTACAGAATGGAAACAGATTGTAATCCCATGGAGCTAAGCAGTATGGCAGGATTTGAAGAAGGTTCAGAGCTCAATGGTTTTGAAGGAACTGACATGAAAGACATGAGGCTAGAAGCTGAAGCAGTTGTAAATGATGTTCTCTTTGCTGTTAACAACATGTTTGTCTCGAAAAGCCTGCGCTGTGCAGATGATGTGGCCTATATCAACGTGGAAACAAAGGAGAGAAACAGATACTGCCTAGAGCTCACTGAAGCGGGGCTTAAGGTAACTCACTTTTCTTTTTAGAAAAAAAAATTATGTCTTTACCACTTTATTAAAAAGAGGGGTGAGTGGGGAGGGGAAGAGTGTTAACTAGGAACTGGGTATTCAGTAGCTTCCAAAATTTTTTTAAGGAAAACTTTCTACCTAGAAATTTTTATTAATTTCAAAGTCTTTTGATCAATATGGAGAAACTGAATTTTTTTGAAAAATATTTGATTTGCAGGGTGTGACTTTGTTTTAATCATGACCCTCAAAACTAATTTATTTCTCATCTATAGCTAAATGTGTTCACCAAAATTATATATACATTCTCTGCATTGATGGGTTTTGCAGTCATTGTGTTGAAAAGATCTTTGTCAACCTCTTAGAAATGTCTCTTCTGTTAAAATAACATACTTGGGCCGGGCGCGGTGGCTCACGCCTGTAATCCCAGCACTTTGGGAGGCCGAGGCGGGTGGATCACAAGGTCAAGAGATCGAGACCATCCTGGTCAACATGGTGAAACCCCGTCTCTACTAAAAATACAAAAAATTAGCTGGGCATGGTGGCGCGTGCCTGTAATCCCAGCTACTCAGGAGGCTGAGGCAGGAGAATTGCCTGAACCCAGGAGGCGGAGGCTGCGGTGAGCCGAGATCACGCCATTGCACTCCAGCCTGGGTAACAAGAGTGAAACTCTGTCTCAAAAAAAAAAAAAAAAATGACAACACTGTCTTCCAGATCAGAATAAATCAGAGCAGAACATTCCACCCCCAGATTTCCAATGGTGTCCTATTAGCCCTTTATTACAAGTATCTCTTTATTATGAGAGCTCTTCTAGGCAGATTAACCTTTCCATTGTTTAAACGAAAATCATGAGTTTAGAATAGTAGAAAACATCACCAGAGAGCAACTTTTAATTAAAAAAGAAAAAAACTGTAAGCCATGCCTGGTGGCCCTTGCCTGTAATCCTAGCACTTAAGGAGGCCAAGCTAGTAGGATCATTTTAGGCCAGGAATTCGAGATCAGCCTGGGCAACATAGCGAGACCCTGTTTCTTCAATATGCATATGTTTTAATTAGCCCAACATGGTGGCATTTGCCTGTAATCCCAACTACTTGGGAGGCTTAGGAGGGGGCCCATGAGTTCAAGGTTGCACTGAGCTGTGACTGGCCCACTGTACTTCAGCCTGGGTACACAAAGAGATCCTTTTGAAAAAAAAAAAAAAAAACTTATAAAAACCTTTGACCTACTGAACAAAGGGATAGACATTAGAAAATCTAAAATTGGCCCTTCCCCCACCCGCTTCCAGCCGAGGCTCGGTTCTCCCGCCTCCGCCTCTGCCGCGCTCGTGGTTGTCCTGCCATGGCACTGTCGCGGGGCCTGCCCCGGGAGCTGGCTGAGGCGGTGGCCGGGGGCCGAGTGCTGGTGGTGGGCGCGGGCGGCATTGGCTGCGAGCTCCTCAAGAACCTCGTGCTCACCGGCTTCTCCCACATCGACCTGATTGATCTGGATACTATTGATGTCAGCAACCTCAACAGACAGTTTTTGTTTCAAAAGAAACATGTTGGAAGATCAAAGGCACAGGTTGCCAAGGAAAGTGTACTGCAGTTTTACCCGAAAGCTAATATCGTTGCCTACCATGACAGCATCATGAACCCTGACTATAATGTGGAATTTTTTCGGCAGTTTATATTGGTTATGAATGCTTTAGATAACAGAGCTGCTCGAAACCATGTTAATAGAATGTGCCTGGCAGCTGATGTTCCTCTTATTGAAAGTGGAACTGCTGGGTATCTTGGACAAGTAACTACTATCAAAAAGGGTGTGACTGAGTGTTATGAATGTCATCCTAAGCCAACCCAGAGAACCTTTCCTGGCTGTACAATTCGTAACACACCTTCAGAACCTATACATTGCATCGTTTGGGCAAAGTACTTGTTCAACCAGTTGTTTGGGGAAGAAGATGCTGATCAAGAAGTATCTCCTGACAGAGCTGATCCTGAAGCTGCCTGGGAACCAACAGAAGCTGAAGCCAGAGCTAGAGCATCTAATGAAGATGGTGACATTAAACGTATTTCCACTAAGGAATGGGCTAAATCAACTGGATATGATCCAGTTAAACTTTTTACCAAGCTTTTTAAAGATGACATCAGGTATCTGTTGACAATGGACAAACTATGGCGGAAAAGGAAACCTCCAGTTCCGTTGGACTGGGCTGAAGTACAAAGTCAAGGAGAGGAAACGAATGCACCAGATCAACAGAATGAACCCCAGTTAGGCCTGAAAGACCAGCAGGTTCTAGATGTAAAGAGCTATGCACGTCTATTTTCAAAGAGCATTGAGACTTTGAGAGTTCATTTAGCAGAAAAGGGGGATGGAGCTGAGCTCATATGGGATAAGGATGACCCATCTGCAATGGATTTTGTCACCTCTGCTGCAAACCTCAGGATGCATATTTTCAGTATGAATATGAAGAGTAGATTTGATATCAAATCAATGGCAGGAAACATTATTCCTGCTATTGCTACTACTAATGCAGTGATTGCTGGGTTGATAGTATTGGAAGGATTGAAGATTTTATCAGGAAAAATAGACCAGTGCAGAACAATTTTTTTGAATAAACAACCAAATCCAAGAAAGAAGCTTCTTGTCCCTTGTGCACTGGATCCTCCTAACCCCAATTGTTACGTATGTGCTAGCAAGCCAGAGGTGACTGTGCAGCTGAATGTCCAGAAAGTGACTGTTCTCACCTTACAAGACAAGATAGTGAAAGAAAAGTTTGCAATGGTAGCACCAGATGTCCAAATTGAAGATGGGAAAGGAACAATCCTAATATCTTCCGAAGAGGGAGAGACAGAAGCTAATAATCACAAGAAGTTGTCAGAATTTGGAATTAGAAATGGCAGCCGGCTTCAAGCAGATGACTTCCTCCAGGACTATACCTTATTGATCAACATCCTTCATAATGAAGACCTAGGAAAGGATGTTGAATTTGAAGTTGTTGGTGATGCCCCGGAAAAAGTGGGGCCCAAACAAGCTGAAGATGCTGCCAAAAGCATAACCAATGGCAGTGATGATGGAGCTCAGCCTTCCACCTCCACAGCTCAAGAGCAAGATGATGTTCTCATAGTTGATTCGGATGAAGATTCTTCAAATAATACTGACGTCAGTGAAGAAGAGAGAAGCCGCAAGAGGAAATTAGATGAGAAGGAGAATCTCAGTGCAAGGAGGTCACGTATAGAACAGAAGGAAGAGCTTGATGATGTCATAGCATTAGATTGAACAGAAATGCCTCTAAACAGAACCCTCTTACTACTTAGTTTATCTGGCAGAACCAGATTATTTGTTATGTCCTTTGTTCCAAAGGGAAAAAGTTGACACCAGTGACTTGAAAATTATTCTGCTCCCTTTGAAAGCATTCATTTTGCTAAAGCTGTTAGACACATTGCAGTATTGCTGTATTGAAAGTAGGAATATAGTTTTTAAAACCCTTTGAACAAAGTGTGTGCATAACCAGTCATGAGATAAAACAACACAGTGCATGTTGCCTTTTTAATGTAAATACCCTTAGGTATCATTAGTTTCAAAATATTGTGGTTTAGTAAAGTTGATACCTGGTTATAAATATTATGCCTTTATTTTTGGCTAGAAGAAGAATTATTTTTAGCCTAGATCTAACCATTTTCATACTCTTAACTGACTGAAACAGATTCAAAGAAGTATCAAGTGCTATGCATTGAAACTTGTTTTTAAATGTTAAATGGCACTGTGTATATTAATGTAAAACAATGTTAATTTACTCAAGTTTTCAGTTTGTACTGCCTGGTATGTCTGTGTAAGAAGCCAATTTTTGTGTATTGTTACAGTTTCAGGTTATTTATATTCAATGTTTTGTAAAACTCAAATAACGACTATACTTATGGACCAAATAAATGGCATCTGCATTCTTGTTAAAAAAAAAAAAAAAAAAAGAAAGAAAATCTAAAATTTAGTTTTAACCTTCCTAATCAATGAATCTTCAGTCTTGGCAAATGTCATACATTTCTGTGTTTCTATATTTGTTCAAAGTAATTGTGCATTATCATAAGATGGTGAGCAAGGCCTGCCTAAGCAAGTAAGAGTGTTACATAATATTATGTTAAGTACATAAATATCTCTTTATTTCACTGGATTCAGTTTGCTGGAGATGAGTCATGTATACTGTATACTCCTTGATAGAGCAAAGTGCAAGACCAGCATTTGTGCTGCCCTCAGTTCCCTCACAGCTGCCACAAAGATTGCTGCTTAGCTTTAAGTGTAGTACCTGAATTAACTAATTTTCGTGCACTCCTTTCCACATCCTTAAATTTGTACTAAAAGCTCCTAGTGTTTAGAGATGGATCTGTAATCAGAAGTAGAGGTAAGTGACCCCAGGTAAACTAATTCTGTCTTGTGTTGGTTAATTCTAAGTTGGCTATGGAGAGGTAGAAGGAGTTCTGATCAGAGAGTCAGCAGTGCAGTCTTAAATGTGAATTTTAATGATCTTGGGTGAGTCTGTCTACCCCTGAGAGTTCCTGCTTCTTAATTAACTTAGAGATTACAAAAAGTAAAATGATTTGGGGAATGATTGTTTGACTGTATGATACAGAAATATCTGAACCATTTGTAAAACCTGGCATGTAGTAGGTACCCAAATATTTGTTTTTCAGTCTGATTCAGTTAACATTTATTGAGCTACTATCCTGCATCAGCAAATTGAAAATCAAACCATGAATAAGACATGATCCATGTTCACCAGGAAGATCACAGTCTAGCAGAGATAAGAGGAAGAAGGCAAACAACTGTACTCCACTGTAGAGTGCAGTAATTGAGCATGGATCTGAAGAGGTGTGATTCATTTTCCTTAGGTGTCTGCCTCTGCTTTTCATTTAAAAAAAAAAGCTCAGCTTCTATTTCTAACATAAACTTTGATCTCTATGGCTTAAATAGATGTCATAAAAATTTAGGATTTATATAGGGAATTTACAGACTTCAGTCAAGTCAGCAAAAACTAAATTAATTTTGCCCTATGTTGTGCGGGTGAACCATGACATACCTTATAATCCTGTCAAAAAGAAAAGTTGTAGCTGTGTTTACAGGAGAGAAAAAAAAACCCACACATCGCTTCTCAGCCTTTTGGCTAAGATCAGTTGTAGTATCTCTTCTTATCAGTTTAATATCTGTTGGGTCCTCTATCCAAGGATAGTATATTAAATGGATTTTTGGAGCAGGGAGATAGAATAGGCTCTTGCTCTGTTCACTCCTCACATCGACCTGGTATTGCAATTTCCAGAAATAGTGTACCCCACCAAGAAAAAAAAACACAGTAACATTCCCTTTTATCTCACAGAGTTGAGCATTCATTCCCTGTCAGATAAGAAATATATTAAGTGGAAGTGACCTTTCAGATTACTAATAATAAGGCTAAGCAGTTATGAAAACTAAACTAATGATTAAACCAATTATTAATAAAATAATTATTAAAATTAACTAAAACTAAATCATTAGGGATAGTTTATAGAATTCTATGTATAAAAGGAATACGAAATAAATAATGATAAAAATATGAACTAATGCTATATTACCTATTATAGTACTTAATATAGTAGACCTTCAATATATGTGGAATTAAATAGGGTAAATAATACATGCATGTTTTGTAATATGAAAATGAAATACTGTTTTTGTGTAGCTTTTCAAATTCTTTCTCTACATTACTTTGAGACTCAGAAGTAAATAAAACCTTTTAAATTTTGAAAAAAATTCTATAGGGAGCTTTTTATTGGTGTTTCTGTGTTATATATTACAAGTTGCTCAAGTATTAAAGTTTTTGTTTAAAATGTACATACTCTGACTTTGATTGAGAAATAGTCTCATTTGATAATTACCCATGTATCTCTGGTGGTCCCGTGGCTAGGAAAAAAAATATATTTTTTTTTAAAAAGGATGATTATTCACGTAAACACTTGGTTTTTGCTTTCTGTACCAAGATGAAAACTGATGAATTCACTGTTGCATTTCCCTTGTAGGTGGTAGGCTATGCTTTTGACCAGGTGGATGATCATTTACAGACTCCCTACCACGAAACAGTCTACTCCTTGTTGGATACACTCAGCCCTGCCTACCGGGAAGCATTTGGAAACGCACTCCTTCAAAGACTGGAAGCTTTGAAAAGGGATGGACAGTCATGACTATATTTTTTCCTTTCAGAGGGGCTGGTGCTGGTACAGAATGTTGACATGAAGCTTGAAATTCTTGCATATGGTCATATGAAATGCATCTTTGGTTTTGTGTCTTAATCACTTGCTTCCAACTTAGGCTTTTGGCTCAGAAGATTATTGAATAATGATTTTAGTTTCTGTTTCACTAAGGGAATTCTGAGGCCGTTGCTGTGATACCATCATTAAGACCTTCACATTTCTTCATATAATCTCTCTGCATTTCAAATCCTAATCAGTATTTCATACTCTTATTACAGGGCTTTGATGCTGCCAGCACTCTCTTTTACATAGGAAATTCTAGATTTGCACAGTAATAGAGGAATTAGAATTACCTAACTATACACTTTGATTCAGCCTGCTAAATCAGGGGTTCACTACTAGCTTGGACAAACTTTGTAGTAATTATTTGCTACTAGCCTTATTGGAAACAAATTACAACTAGTTTCCCCTGCACAAATTTTGAAATTCACTGCTTCACGTAATCTATTTATATTACTAATATGGTTTAATAAAGATGAATTAATTATATATTACTTAACTAGTATTAAATGAAAAACAAGGACTGAAATAGTTCTGTATTCCGTGTTTGCAACAGCCAGCCAACTAAGCAGAGGATAAACCGTTAGCAAATGAATGTAATAATTACTCATTTCCTAGATATCTAAGCACATAAGCAAATACAGGAACAGACTCCATTCTTTTTCTTAACAAAAAGCATCTTCAGTGTGTGATTTAAAAGAAGAAAGATACTGGTTTCCTAAAAAACAATATTTTGGCCTGTGTTGATTCTTATTCTGAATGTGTGTTTACATAATGTACAGTATATATTCAGAAAGTATTTTTGCTTCAACGTTTACTTTCTATGATGTAGTGCTTTGGTATTCCCACAGCACCCCACCTTCCCCAACAGATGTACAGTGTTCTGTCTCCATGCGAAATCTACAATGTAATATGAGTGCATTGTATGGGTTTGAAACCAAAGGATGAATGAAGCATTCAGAGACTTAATATTTGAAAAAGGGATACTCAGTATTTTATATTTTATTACAGGTACTGATATTTATAAACTTCATAAATGTACCATGCTGCCACATGTTGTCAAGTACATGTTGAACCATAAGGATTGGGGAGTTGTTTTTTAATGGTTGCCTAAAGCAGCTGCCGTAGAAATGTGGAACTGAAATTTTGCATCTGGTCACACCTTCATACATTTGTCATGTGCAGGTATTTTTCCATCATTAATAAAAAATAGGAACTTTTAGGCTCTGAAGATCATGTGGACCAGAGCAAATTAAAGTTCAGTTTGTGTCACAATCCACTGTCAGACTTCATTGGAATGCTTTGTTTGATGATGTATATTCATTCTCAGCTTTATTTTCAGATGCTTAACTGGGCAATGAAGTCTAACTTCAGGTTGAACTTTCTCATGCTTAATCTCAGGCTAAATGTAAATGATATTTGTAAAGTTTGAATAAAATTCTCTTTACTCATTTTGAGTTAGTATGAAGAAAAGTGATGATTGTATGTTTAAGAATTGAAATTGTTCACTTTGTGATAAATGATTAATTCCAAGAGCTTGTTTCCATTTTTTAATTCTGTATTATTATGTTTTGATTTGAAGTGACTGAAGTGAGCCGCTTTTTATTACTATGAAAGAGTAATGAGGAACAAGAGGAGAGGACTTTAATAAAACTACACAGATATACATGAGAATCTAGATATTAAAACCTCCATTTTACCTGGTCCGTTTAAAGAACTTAACCAGCAGATAGGCTGGGCGTGCTGGCTCACACTTGGAATTCCAGTGGTTTGGGAGGCCCAGTCAAGAGGATCACGTGAGGAGTACAAAACCAGCCTGAGCAACATAGATCCTATCTCTATAAAAAGTTATGAAAGCATAGCTGGTGACACACGCCTGTAGTCCTAGCTACTAGGAAAGCTGAAGCAGGAAAATTGCTTGAGCCCAGGAATTGGAGACTATAGTGAACTACAATCGTGCTTCTGCACTGCAGCCTGGATGACAGAACAAGACCCCGTCTATTTTAAAAAAAAAAAAAAAAGAAAGAAAAGAAAATTATGGAACAACCAGATAAATTAAGCCTTGATTTTGCTTCTAAAGGAAAAAGAAAAACTTGTGTATAAATAACTCTTACAAATCAAAGGAAGAAAAAATACAAACAATGGGCAAATACAATCAACTCAAAAAAAAAAATACAGAGGTCAGTAATTACTTGAAAGAGGTCCAACCCAACTATTCAAGAAAGAAAAATTTTAAGTGATCTGGTCATTTCACTTACTAATTTTGTGATTCTTCTTATTTAAACTTAATACCAGTGAGGATTTAGTGAGGGAGCATTCTTACATTCTATTGGAGGGTATGTTGGTGAGATCTTTCTGGAAACATTGATAATAAATCCTTTACAAAGTTTATAACTTCTGAATTGGTAATATACTAGCAATCTAGCATCGAAAAATGATTCAGAAAAAAAGATAAACTATTATACAAGGTTCATTTTCCCTAATGAAAAATTGAGAAGGCTCTAAAGAGTGGTAAAGTTATGCTACATCCTTTAGATGGAAAATAGGCAGCCACTAAAAATCATGAAAAAATGGCAATGGGGAAAAATAATGCTACACAAAGAAGGATATAAAACTATACATACTGTTTTGAAAACTGTGTATGTAACAAAAAATGAAACGATTATAAGATGTTAGTAATCACTAGATAATAAAAATAGGTCATTTTCATTTTCTTAATACTTTTTCACATTTTATCCATTAGCTTGTATGTACTAATTAGAAGCAGGAATGCAATTGATGTGGGGTTTAAGCTAGCTGAAGGCTGTCTAGCAAAAGCACCAAGCCTTGCTGGGTCGTATCTGCTCCCAGGATCCTTGAAGAGGCAGTATGATTTGAAGAAAAGAGTGCACACCTCATTTCCCATAGTGACACTCTTCCCACCTTTTCTCCAGGTCCACCTGCCACTAGTGCATTTACAAACAGCTTCTTCCATTGCACATTGTGCTGTTCTCTCCCGTGTTCAGAAACATAAAATGTGCTGTTAGAATGTTAAGGAGGAATACAGTAAGAAACACTGAAATTCCGATAGGTGCCATATTGACTTCAGAACTTTCTTTCCAACCTCTTTATTTTCTGGATGATACGGGTGAGACAGACTGAGCAACTTGCTCAGCAGCTACCTGTGAGAAGTGGCATTGGATCAGAACCCAGGTCTTCTGACTCCACCAGCTCTACCCATATAGTATGTGTTAATAAAAGCCATCACATTAATTTTGTGTTTATATGAAAACTGATTTTAAAAGAGGGAAAGAATAACAAAGGAAAGATCCATTAGTTGGTATAATAGAATTAATAGAATCTCCAGCCTGGGCGTTGTGGCTCACACGTGTAATCCCAACACTTTGGGAAGCTGAGGTGGGTGAATTACCTGAGGTCGGGAATTCGAGACCAGCCTGCCCAACATGGTGAAACCCCACCTCTACTAAAAATACAAAAATTAACTGGGCGTGGTAGCACACGCTTGTAAGCCTAACTACTCAGGAGACTGAGGCAGGAGAATTGCTTGAACCCAAGAGGTGGAGGTTGCAGTGAGCCAAGATTGCCCCCATGTACTCCAGCGTGGTCGACAGAGTGAGACTTAGTCTCAAACAGTAATAATAATAGAATCTCCTTTTTGAACCTACCAATATATAGGAAATTATCTAGATGCCATCCCCCTTATTTCAAGAAACACAGGTAAGTCATATTTCATTGTAGCATGACTAGCTGAATAACTTTCAAAGTATTTACCTGCTTAACTGCATATCAACAAGGAATGCAGAGACAAAGTAACAATTTGAAAATGAATCAAGTGAATTTAAGAATATTTGAACTAGTAAGTCATTTGAAAGAATGCTGAAGCATATTTTCTAAGTTTTGCACTGATCTTGCATGAATACTTGTACATTTAAACTGACACTACTTTCTTGTTGATTAAAAAAAAAAAATGAGTGCAGTGCGGTGGCTCATACCTGTAATCCCAGCACTTTGGGAGGACAAAGTGGATGGATCATGAGGTCAGGAGTTCAAGACCAGCCTGACCAACATGGTGAAACCCCATCTCTACTCAAAATACAAAAATTAGCTGGGTATAGTGGCATGTGTCTGTAATCCCAGCTACTCGGGAGGCTAAGGCAGGAGAATGACTTGAACCCAGGAGGCGGAGGTTGTGGTGAGCTGAGATCACACCACTGCACTACAGCCTAAGCAAGAGAGCAAGACTTCATCTCAAAAAAAAAAGCAAAAAATATTTGCTATAAGCAAACTGTTCCCAAATTGAGTTGGCAAAAATTTCAAAGCGTGACTTTATCAAAACAAGTTTTAATGAGACTTGTATGTATGAAAAAGAAAATGGGGTGGGGACAGAAAATTGAAACATAAAGGCTTCCATCTGTAGAAGTGTGCCTTAGCCTTGCAGAGAAAAAGAAAAGAAAAAAAAGCAGTAATTTCACCTTTGGAGAGCACTTCAGAAAATGCTTCACATATGTCTTATTTAATCCTAACAGCCTTATTAGGCTAGTGGTATCACTCCTATTTTACAGGCAATTTAACAGCCTAGGGAAAGTTAAAAGATTGGTCCCAGCCTCCCACAAATGACTGCAGAGCTGAAACTCAAAACCAAATCTCTTGAGTGCCTGAAAACTCAGGGCCTCCAATCTGGAGATCTTGGGCCACCTCCGATTCTTGAAACACTTTGGGAGGCTGAGGCAGGCGGATCACCTGAGGTTGGGAGTTCAAGACCAGCCTGAACAACATGGAGAAACCCCGTCTCTACTAAAAATACAAACATTAGCTGGGCGTGGGGGTGCATTCCTGTTATCCCAGCTACTTGGGAGGCTGAGGCAGGAGAATCACTTGTACCTGGGAGGCAGAGATTGAGCTGAGATCGGGCCATTGCACTCCAGCCACAAGAACGAAACTCCGTTTATTAAAAAGAGAAGAAAAGGCCAGGTGGCGTGGCTCACACCTGTAACCACAGCATTTTGGGAGGCCAAGGCGGGCGGATCACTTGAGGCCAGAAGTTCAAAACCAGTGTGGCCAACATGCTGAAACCCTGTCTACTAAAAATAGAAAAATTAGCCGGGTGTGTGGTAGGCATCTGTAATCCCAGCTGCTCTGGAGGCTGAGGCAGAAGAATCGCTTGAACTCGGGAGGCAAGGTTGCAGTGCGCCGAGATTATGCCATTGCACTCCAGTCTAGGTGACAGAGCGAGACTCCGTCTCAAAAAAATAAAGTAAAAATTAAAAAGAACAAGAAGGCTGGCACAGTGGTTCATGCCTGCAATACCAGCACTTTAGGAGGACGAGGCAGGAGAATCTCTTGAGCCTAGGAGTCAGAGACCAGCCTGGGCAATAAACACAGTGAGACCATGTCTCTATTAAAAATAATAAAATAAAAAGAATGAGGAGAAACCACTCACACACAATTGCTGCAAGTGTTAAATATTTGCATTTAACGAGTTAATTAATGCTTAAAGCATGAAAATAGTTCAATATGATCAGGCTCTTCCAAGGTAACTGCGGGAGGTACTCTTAGTCCACCACAACCTTTGCGGTCCTGTGATCACCAGGTTGGATGCTGTCTTTCAATTCGTGGATTTATCTCAGCAACTGCATGTATAATCTCTCGTGGGACGGTCAATTCTAAATTTTGTCCCTTGGTGAATGTGAGCGAATCCCGAGCACCCACGCCCTCTGGTCGCCCCCAGCGGACACCAGGGGTCCTCCCGGAACTTGCGTCTGGAAACAACCCCAAGGGAGCTGGGCCCGCGGACCAAGCCGCAACTGCCGCAAGGCGAGACGATGCTAGGGTCGCTCAGATGCTCGGGAGCCCGAAACTCCATGGCAACAGCTGTTCTTCGCAGCTGAGGCTCACGCCCCGTCGCCCCAGCCAGACCACCCCACGGGAGAGCGCTCAGTAACTCCCACGTGGCGGGGAGAGGCCTAGGCTGTGGGGCATTCCCTCTTCTTCAGAATCCTCATTATTTTTTAGTCATCGGATCAAGCGGGCACAGGGATGTGTTTTTAGACCTTACGAACAATGAAGATAGAAAGGCACTGAGATCACAGGGTCCCCTGGGACAAACGCCCAGGGAGCCTCCAAAAGAGACGGTGCACTGCCCAAGGGCTCCCAGTGGGCGTCAAGCCAGGGTGAGATCCGGGCTGCACTCGCGGCGCTGCGGAGAGCACTCGCTGGGACATCCGCCTGGCGCCCAGCAGCCGAGAGCGCGCGCAACTGCTGGTCCTGAGCCCCGCTTGGCCCGGCACACCCCACTCAGCGCCCGGCACGCCCCGCCTCCCCCCGCCAGGCACGCCCCGCCCCGCCTATCACGCCCTGCTTAGCGCCCGGCACGCCCCGCCCCGCCCAGCGCCCGGTACGACACGCCCCGCTGCCGGGAGCGCCCCGCCCCGCCTGTCACGCCCTGCTTAGCGACCGGCAAGACACGCCCCGCCCAGTGCCCAGTACCACACGCCCCCCCCTGCCAGGAGCGCCCCCCCCCGCCTGGCACCCCCTGCTTCGCTACCGGCACCACGCCCCCCCCCCTGCCCCCAGCACGCCCCCCCCCCCCTGCCAGGAGCGCCCCGCCCCGCCTGGCATGCCCTGCCTAGCGCCCGGCACTCCGTGCTTTGCGCACGACACGCCCCTCCTGCCGAGCACGAGGCGCCCGGGCCCCGCCCCCGAGAGAGAACCGGCCCCGCCTCCCCGGCCCGGGCCCCGCCTCCTTGGCAAGCTGAGGGACGCTTTCACCGTAGCAACCAGCACTGCGCCCACCATGGCTGAAGAAGAGGAAACTGCTGCTCCCGCGGAGAAAGTTCTCCGGATTCAGAGGGTGTTTATAAACCTGCTGGACTCCTACAGCAGCGGAAACATCGGAAAGGTGAGCGGCGGCGGCGGCCAAGAGCCACATCCCAGCTCTCCGCTCACAGCCCCCGGCCCCCGATCCGCAAACCCAGCGAGAGTCTGCGCTCCAGGGCGCTCTTGGGGCCTTTCTTCAGGGAGGGCCCTGTGTCCTGGGCACCACCAATGCCCCCTGGACCTCAGTCCGCACCCAGTGTGGACAAGGGATCCTACGCTTGAAGCCCACGTGTCTGGAGATCACAGGTCCATCCCCAGTTCCTCCTTTTAATGAGGGGAAACTGAGGCTGAGAGGGAGGAAGGAACTTGCCCAAGATCACAGAGAGTTGAGGCCAGAACCTGGACAGAGAGTCCAGGTCTCCCGCCTCCTGCTAGGTTCTCTTTCCACTCCTCCATCGATTTCGAAGTTGGCAGCTAAACGAGAAAATAAATGAAAATTTTATATAGCTCCTGAAGCGTTTTTCATTCATCCATCCCTTCAATATATGGTTTTTGAGCATCTGTTATGAACCAGACACTGTTTGGGTCTCTGAGTTCCATTACATTTCCTCACTTTTCTCTGTCTTTAGCCCTGGAAAATGAAGATATTAAAAAAAAAAAAAAAAAAAAAAAAAAAAAAAAAAAAAAAAAG